GGGCTGAAGATACATAACACAACTAAGCAGCTACAGCCCCATAAACTGATTGTACAAGAGGCTGGGGGAAGATAAGCCATGTTGCACTCCTCAAAGGAAGAATGGGGTATAAAGCATTTCTACTGACTCACTGTATGCCTGAGTGCAAAACCAATTGAGGCGTGTAAAACATTATTGCGTGTAACTGACAAACTGGGCACCCATGAAATCTCCTAATTACGTAGTACCTGATATTTTACTGACATTTGGCTCTTACCCCAGCACAAACCTTGATGCTTGGAAGTTCATTTCAGGACAGTTGCGGCTGCAGGTGAGAGCTTCACGACAGTGCTCTAGAAAGGATATTTGCCAACAAACGGAAGGTGAGTGATGGCAGCACATTTAACACTCACCCTAATAGTGGAATGCTCAATCTGAATTAACATTCTCTTCTTAAGAAAAACAACAGAAAACTCCTCAAGGCTTTAGGAGAGGTATAAAAAAATAATTCCTACATGTTTCCCAACACCCCTTCTGATCTCATTCATCATTTTCTCACGCACACTGTAGTAGTATGGGCCTGCCCTCAACCAAGGTTCCTGCTCCATGTGCCTCCCTCCTCAGAAGCGAAATGGGTGGATAAAAGGACTCTGCTTGAAGATTCCATCCTTGTGTTTCCCTGGCAGTGAACCTACTAAAATTTTGGAATTACCGTAACTTTATTGTGTTACTTTTTTCTGGTTTTAAGACCCTGCTTGCTAGCATGGTTCTTTTAACTGTGGTACTATGTCCTTTTCCTGCTGCCTACTTCTGCAACGTAATTTTCTGCGGAACCCTGATACCATATTGTTTTACTTGTTGGAAGCTACCTCAAGAGCTGTGGCACAGGAAGTGCAGTATATTTATTATTTAAAACATCTAAGTTCAGACATGAGTAGAAGTGTTTTTAAGTTCTTTAATTACACTCAGAGTAAAAGATCAGCATTTTCACTGGGTAGCTGTTTGCTGTTTATATACGCATTTATACAATATGGAACACCCTTTTCCCAAGTTTGCCTTACCTGTGAAATAGTATGATTGTCCAATCACAGGCTGACCTTAAGCATCATACTGATGAAAAACATGCTCCATTTATAGGAGTCTGCAATTCCATCTGAAATAATCTTTAAAAATTGCTCAATTAGAGCAAGTAATCAGGAAAGAAACAGTAGAATGTGACATGCCTGATTGCAGGAAGATGAACTATATTTTAGTAAACAGTTTTCCGCAGCTGTATAACTTGCTGAATAGTCCTCATTTCAGCAGTCTCCCCCAATTCATTCGATGCTTCAAAGATTAGTCCAGTGGGGAAATGATGCTGTAACTGAAAGGACATATAGCGTCATAACATCCTCTTCACAATCCTTTCCTGAGAAATATTCATGGATTCTTCTCAGTTCTACAGCTTTCTTCACCTGCAATCCTTCCACAAAACTACTATGTTAGAACTGGCCCAAGAAATCCCAATGAGCAAAGAAACCTGCAAACCTAGCAGAGATTATAGATTACAAATGCTAAACAAGTCAAGTAACAAAGTACTTATTTCTTGTTGCATTGCATCTTCAAATAACTCTGTAAAACCACTACTTTTACTACTGTAAATTACACACAATGGGACCAATGCTCCGTCTAAGCTGTGGAATCTTATGAGCAAAAATTCTACTTTGTGAGTTAGTGGCATTAAAAGTTGTTGTGAGCGAGCAATTTGGCCACTGCATAAATTAGTTTGCTCTGGAGCCATCCTTCCTGAGCTAACATAAAAATGTGTGAGACAGAGGCTAAAAAACTGAGCTAGCTCACACTAACTTAGCTTAGAGGGAACACTGATTGGGACAGAATGCCCTTTTGCAAGACTGTCGTCAACAGAATAGCAGTAAAACAGTCATGTTTCCTGTTCCTCTCCATTCCCCAGCCACTCTACATCCAGTTAGCTTTCACTTCTCTGCCCTCTACCTACAGATCCCCAGCTTTGTGTTTTCCCCAAATGACAAAACAAATCCATTTGTGATGGTACCAGTAAGTAGGTGAAACAGGAAACGTGGTACCTGAAGTAAAGATCCTGTTTACTTCTGCGGCATCTGAAGTTGCTCAGTTAGTGAATGACCATTTTTTTTTAGCATTTGTAAGACAGTGAAATCTTCATTAAGCCCACCCTTTTTGAATTTTGGCAATTGTAAATTGTATTTGAACAATTAGAAACACAGAAACAGAGAGCTGGGAGGGGCCTCAAGGGTCACCTAGTCCAATCCCCTGCTCTATATCAAAAGGAAGGCAAAAAATCTCAGGATTCCTGGGCCAATCTGGCCTGGAGGGGGGAAAAATCCTTTCTGACCCCAAAGTGGCCATCAGTATTACCCTGGACATGTAAAAAAAGGACCACAAGAGCCAAGTGCTGGTGACTCATCCCTTCCTGCCTTCTTTTTGTTCCACATACCTATGATTTGCTTAAGCTTGAAAACTCACGAGTTTGCTGCTCAGGCTAGTTTAGTCACCTCAGGTAGTCTTTACATGGCGAAAGGGTCTACAACTTCCCTTTGGTCCTTTATACGAAATAGTATGGAACATGTCCTGGGGAATGGAGGCGCATATGTGCAAGCCTGATTAGCATGACATTAGGAAACCATATAGGCATCTGCCAGGAGTGGCTCCATCAACATTACATATATTAGGAACAAGTACTAGCCCCTCCACTGCACACCTAGTGTAAAGATGTTGACTATCCAGGTAAGAATGTAAATCATGCCCAAGAGTTTAGTTGCTACATCTTAAAGGAAACAAGCCTCTCATCAAAACACCTGGTCAAGGTGGACATGCTCTTGCCTTAGCCACTTCTTCAGTCCAAGATGCCATTCTGCAGTGCACCTGGGATACCTAATCTTCATGAGGGGAGCATGCAGGACTTTCACTGCTTCTCAACAGCCAGGCATGTCTTCTATTGTCCTTTTGACCTGATGTGGTTGACCTTTTCATCTCTCCCTCAAACCAGTGACACATTTACCCACAAACAGGATAAAAAGCAGCTTTTTGCAGGAGGGAGGGGGGGGGGGGGGGAAGGAGGTGGGCAGAAACTGTACAAATGCCCGAGGAAAACTAAAGTATCATTGAGAGTTCTCTCTAATGAGATAGCAAAAATTAAAGTACAGCATAGAGTGCATCAGCTTGAGGTTTTCTCTCAAGTATTGGGTATATTTGCAATTTTGTCAATACAAAATTAGGGCAGTTATAACTTAAATTCTGTATTTCAAATACTGCAATTTTTATATGCTAAGTTATAAAAGATGCATATTACGTTGTTAAAAGTTGAGGTTTGAGAAGTATTGCACGTATTTGTTTTCCCCCAAATTTCTGCTTCAAAATTTCCAGAAATGTCTCACAAATCTAGTTGCCACTTATTCTCAGCCTACAAGAATGTGATACTGCAAATATTTTGAAAACAAATACTTCTCAAAGAACTGATTTCTAGCTGCACTGCCCACGGAAGAATTCTTTTGCATTCCATTTCAAGCACTGGCAATACATTCCCACTGCTCACTTGCCATAGAAATCAGGAAAGTTAACTTTTGAGCTGTCATATGTAATAAAAATCTTCAAATAATGCTTACAGATCTCTTCAAATGGAAGCGTGTTCTGCTATTCTTGGGTCAGTGTTACCTTTTCTTTTTAAAGATTAATACAGTTTTTGTACAAAATTTATATTTGCTTGAAAGATACTTAAATGCATAGACAAAGATTTACGTGAATTCATTTAACTATATATATAAAACCTCTGTAATTATTACTTTATTAGTATCAACCAGGAAATCAGGTGTTCAGAATTCTCCTGAGGTTATACATAAACCAATGCAAATTGAAGTAAGAATCTTAAAAGTCAAAATTGTATAACAAAACAATACTCCATCAAAAAAGTGTGTAAAATTACAAGAATGCTATCTTTAAACACTGGCACTTGAGAACCATAATTTCATAACTAAAGAATTGTCAATCAATCCCCATATTAGTCTGCAGGTAAACATGGAAGAGTTAGAATTGCCAGCAACTTTTACCAAATATGAAAAAAATCTTTAACTTTGGTTTTCAGAGCAACCTATGTTTCATCAAATCAGAGATCACTGGAATACACCATGTTACATCTCACATCGAAATGGAAAGGAGCAGGGAGTTTCTTCCAGACACCTATTTTTAATTTACAAAATGGGCAAACATCCAGAATGTGCTATAATAAGCTAACGGGGGGATCTCATTTTAGCTTGAGATACCTATAAAGTTTGAAAATGGGCTAAAACTAGTATGGCTATGAAAACATGAATTTTTACAGCTCAAACAATGGTACCATCTATAGAAAATGTTAGCAAAGTAAAATCTTTTCCCATCAGACGTTTTATAGCATAAAACCTCCTGGTAGTAAGCCCACAACTTATCACTTGACATGGCATCCTAAAAGGATTACGCTAATTTAGCATTTAACATTACCAGTTTCAGGTACACCCACCTCTGTGTTCAGGTATTCGCAGATATAACTCTCATTTCCAACCAACGGGGTCATATAAACAAATTACTCACAGATCAAAATCAGAATATACTCTCTCTTATTGGTCCTCCAAGGACATTGATTTGAACTTATTTATCCCCTGAAAGTATTCCATGCCACAGAATTGAATTTTACGCCTCAAAGACTGGTAAATTTACACAACTCGGTAGAACATTGTATGCAGCAAAAGCTGAGCAAATACAGACTGGCTAAAAACAAGTGTATTTTTAAGTGGCCTATTACAATTAAAAAAAAAACTGCTTTGCACATATGCCTGTACATATTTCCTACCCTATCATGATTATGTAGGGTACGCAGAACAAAATTCTTGTATCAGCTACTTATATGAAGAGACAAAACTGTAACTCTGACGTGATCTCAAAAGGATATAACGAAGGACAAGTCTCTAAAGAAAAAAAAGGGGGAAGAAATAATAACTTTACAAGGGCACCTATTAAAAGGACAACAATACTAATAAAAAACTGCATTTACTTGAAAGCAATCAAAACGTCAACAGCTACAACTTTTTTTTTTTTGCAATTACAGAGTGGTATTTAGAGAACAGAACAGCTATTATTTTTATGATGCAGAGACAACTGAAGATGAAGAACTACATCCCCATGGTATAACTAATTTGTGCTGTGCACCAACAAGAAACCTGCTTTAAACTTCCATGCCAATTTACAACCCCCATACTGTACTAGGCAAGGTTAGTGGCCATTGAGATACCACTAAAAGGACAGGGCTACCTAGAGACACATTTGGTAGTGTGTTGACTATACAAAAGAAAAAAGAAAAAAAGGAAAAAGGAAAGAAAAGAGAGACACTGTACAATTTAAAAACAAATCTTACACAGCCTTATGTTTCATTTTTTTCTTTAAAAGGAGTGAGTTGTGTACAGGGGGGTTATATGCTTGTATAGACAAGAAAATCTGCTGTAGGAGGTTTATTCATCATCCTCTTCTTCTTCTTCCTCCTCCTCCTCTTCTTCATCCTCTTCCTCCTCATCATCATCTTCATCATCATCATCATCCTCTTCCTTCTTTTTCTTGCTCTTCTCAGGCTTAGGAGCTATCTTTTTTGCTACATCAGGCTTTCCTTTAGCCCGGTAGGCAGCAATATCCTTGGGAAAAGAGGAATGAGACGATTTGTTAAACCCATGTGCTTATAAATTTCCAGATGCGCTATACAAGTGTAAAGGATACAGACGCACATCCTCCAGAGAAATGTATGTATCCCCAATTAGACAAAGTTATCATTCAAAACCTATATATTGGTAGTATAATAAGAGTAACTCAATGCAGAAAAAGAATCTCAGCTAAATTCTTATTAAAAGAAGTTTCACAGACTTCAATTAAAGAGGAGACAGTGCCACCTTTAGCTTGCAGTAAGTATATCCTTTTGACTTTTACAGAAACTCAATATACCAAACTTCTCACTGAGACAAGTAGAACTAGAATTGCTGTTGCCACTAAGACTAATACCAACTATGACATTTTAAAACATTTAATAGCACTTCATGGGATGTTTTCAATACACAGGCTTCCAAAAACACTTACTTGGGAGGTGCATTTCATTAATAAGTCTTTTCTTTATTTTTTTTAAACCACTAAAACTTTAGGCAATACAAAAGGGGGTACAGTATGTGGAAGGAAACTGACAGCAAACTAATATTCCAAACCTGTAGCTCCACTCCTTTTGCCTGAGTTACCAATATGACACAAATACTTGAAACAGCAAAAATGTTATTCACAGTTTACCTTTTCATACTTCTCCTTCAGCTTAGCAGCCTTCTTTTCAAAGGGTTGCTTATCATCTCCAGCAGTATTATTCCACATCTCCCCAAGTTTCTTTGCAACATCCCCAATAGAAAGACCAGGATGTTCTCCTTTGATTTTTGGACGGAACTCAGAGCAGAACAAGAAAAATGCTGAACTGAAAAGAACATCAATACAAAGATTAAAGCCACTGGGTCACTAGGAGAAAGTTAATTAAGTTTTAATATTACATAGAGAACACTGTAAGAGAAAACATATATTAATACAAATAAGACGCAGCAAAATGATAATTCAGTTGCTGCCCAATAGTGCAATTTGTGATAACCAGAAAAAATACTCACGGAGGCCTCTTTGGTGCATTTGGGTCCTTGAACTTCTTTTTTGACTCTCCTTTAGGTGGTATATAATTTTTCATTTCTCTTTCATAACGAACCTTGTCACCTTTTGCCATCTCTTCAAACTTTCCCTTCTCTTTAGCAGACATAGTCTATAAGAACAATTCCGTATGAACACTCAATTCAAGATTACACTCAATTCCACTGTGGAATTTTAGACCTTATCAGTGAAGAAATATTGTGTCCTAACAAATCACTGTTTGTAAATTTGCACTTATTAGGCTATTTACTACACTAGTATTAAAAACACACTCATAACTGCTTACCTTCCACCTTTCTGAACACTTCTTTGAGAACTCTGAAAAATTCACAGAAGCATCTGGATGTTTCTTCTTGTGCTCTTCCCGGCAAGTTTGCACAAAGAAGGCATATGAGGACATTTTACCTCTCGGCTTTTTAGGATCCCCTTTGCCCATACTGATGATATCTGAAAGAAAGCAAAGGTTGTGGATTTAATCTGAGTTTTTGTATCTATACCATATGGTACTACACCAGGAAAAATCGTTCAAACCAACAATCTAAGCTCTATTTTCTTGGACAGCTATCTAAGCAAACACAAATATACTGATGATTGTAAATCCCTAGAAGTATGGGTCTTTAGCAAGTTATTTGATAACTACTGTGGAGGGCCATGCGCCAGAAGGCAAAATCAGAAAGTTAGCTTCCGATAATTTGATATCAAGGGACTGGGTCCAAAGATTATGTCCTGCTACTGGTGGATCCTTCCACCATTACTGGGCATAAAACATTTGAATGTAAATTAGGTAAGAGGTTACTCTTCTCAGCAGATCCATTTTCAGAGATTTAGTTTAAATTATGCTGGGACTAGCCCCTAAAGAATTAGTTTATCTTTCTCCAAAAGCCAAGTCCTGTGTTTAATCCTATGAAGTTCAGTGAGACCTCCATAAAACTGACACTAGACTGGAATCAGTATGATACAATTACTATTTCTAGTAAGAAAGATGCTAAAACATGAAAATCTTTTCCCCTCCTTTAACTGCTGCAAACATCACATTCTCCTTGGTTTATAATTTCAGCACACACACACACAAATTCTCCATAGCAGCAGCTCACAGAGATCTCCATGCATAAATCTGAACAGATGGTAGGCACAGTCAGCTTTAACAGCACCAATCACCTATTTGGCAATGAAAGGGGATGGATTCATGGCCTCCCCCAGCAATTGCTGCTGTCAGGGCTGAGAAACCAAGCATCTGCTAAAGGAATGCACACATCAACCCAATAAAGCAAAGATCAGTGTGCACACCCGCCCAGGTACTGGATCTGTAGTAATATCTATTCTTATGCATGGAATACCAAGTACAACACAGAGAAGCAAGTTGTCCTTGCTGAACTAAGGCCCCGTTCACACGGAGGATTTGCTGCGGGAGAGCAACAAGTGAATGGCGGATTTTCCGGGCGCAATCACACCGCAACATCTGGAAAGTGGAGCGCATCCGTGGCCAACCCATGGCATACCACCGAAAATGCGGAGTTAAAAAATACCTGGTCAAAGGTAGTAGCAACCGGTATGCCACGGGCTGCCTCTGGCCCCTTGTTGACGCAGAGGGAAGGTACCGTGGCATGCTGTCGATGTGTGGAATTGCATTACGGCACGTTAAATTGCGCCGCTACAAATAGCCACACCTTCCTCCCGCGTTATCCGGCCCGTGTGACCGGGGCCAACTTACCTGTTGTGGTGTGAGGTAATGTTGTCAAATGATAAAGTAAGTTGTCCATATAAGTAAATGCCATAATAAGCTAAACTATTATAACACCTCACACCACAACAGGTAAGTTTTCTAAGGTGCCATGGTAGTTTTTAGTCCCTACATAAGGCAGGTTGATCAGTATCATCCTTTTAGAGCTTATTAAAACAAACTTTCTTTTTTGCTGTAACTCTTGTGAAAATGTCTGTTGCAAGCCCATATTCCAAAATACTTGTGGAGGGGATAAACAGGGAACATTACCACTCAAGGGTATTCTACAGTCCGAGTACATAATGAACATCCTCACACAACTAGTTGCTACATGCCAATTTAAAACGAACTGATGGGAAGGTGGTGTTATATGAACTGGCTGCAAAAGAAAAAAGCTCCACAGAAAAGGCCATGTAAATCAGTCCCAATGCAGCCGTTCTTCAAATTAAAAATACTCCACTGAATAGTTCAAAAGGTGTAAAAAGTATTCTGTATTGTCAAACTTGTGCAAAGATTCTATCGCTTTGGAAGACTAAAAGCTGAGAGGATTCATGACTGTCTAAGAAATAGTTCTTCTCCTAAAGGTTGCACAACTTGAATAAGGAAATGTGTACAGTTCTAGCTGGTATTGCCACAGAATGCAGAATTTCCTATCAAGTTTGGCATGTGGACAGAAAAAGATTTCTGCTCTCTGACTAAACATGTCCGGTCTAAAGTTTCTGTCAAGTAAACAAGCCTTAAAGCTCTAAGAGCACCTCATGCTTGCAGGGAAGCAGGGGTCAGGGAAGGGGCTGCCACCCAGAGTTGTAAGGATGCTTGGCTGGCTTGATAATGAAAGGGGGGAAATTAAGGCTTTACATTTTATAGCATATCTTTGACGACTCCACTTAAAACTTTTTTTGAAACATTCAAAATGTCTCAGCCACTAATTTTTTTACATTACAATGCAATATAAAACTTGTGTTTTTCAAGTCAAGTTGCTCATTAAAAAAGAACCCTTTTATATTGTGTGTATGTTGGAACAGCATTTTAAAAAACTGTTTAAGGGGAGGCTGCAAAGAAGTGTAATTTTTCATCATTTAAAAAAACAAAACAAAAAAAACCTCAAACTACTGTGACCAAACTACTAATGGGACACATGTCCTGAGTCACTTTCCAAGCTGGTTGAGAAAAAAATTAAATTATTTTAATGTACCATGTGCCTAGTGAGAGATTACTAGTTATTATGAATTAGGTTGATGCAAGAGACCTTTCGTTGCAAAGGCAGTTTTGAAACACTCAGTCCACAAGGACGAGCGCTCCTGCCTGAAAATCTATCTACAGCCAGAGCCCTACAGAGTTGGGATCTTTCTCTGCCTCGTTGTGTATTTCGTACAATTCCCCCCCCCCAAAAAAAAACACGACTGGGGCGGCGGATGGGGAAGAAATCACAATGGCGTATGATTCTGTGTAAGGTCACCACCGGCAGCAGCAGTTCTCCTTCCATTTTGTGCGAACGCCTTGCTGATGAGAGAAAGTCCCTTTGAAATGCGCGTCGCGGCCGCTCCGCTGCGGTGGAAAGGCCACTTTTTCGGCGGGTGCGCGGCACTCCGAGCCCACTGCTGGCGAGGCCGCTGGTACAGCCATGGCAATAGCGCTCCCCTTTGCATTGGGCTCAGTAGGCAGCGAGACCGCTTCTCGGAATGGCCGCTGCTCACACAGAATATGGCTCCTTCCTTCCTTCCCTTTGTGTGTGTGTGCGTGCGTGTGTGTGTCGGTGCGCTCTGTACTCTGGCGCACAGACTCAGCCATTACAGGCAATTGGAAAGGAGGGGGGGGGAGGTGAAAAGCGTCTCGTTTCCACTTAAAGGCCCCCTTCAAAAAGAGGGGGGGGGATCCGTTCACACGCAGAAAATTACACACGGTTGTTTTTTTCCCCCCTTCCACTCCCCCAGCCGGCCACTTGCTATGCTGGACCTTTAAACGGCCGCCGCCGCAGCCCTTCCCTCGCCCAGGCAGAAAAGGCGCCTTGAAAAAAGTTCCCCTGAAGTGCGCCCCCGCCCGTCCGCGCCTCCCCCTGCCTGCGCTCCAGCCAGTCTCCTCTCGCCTTGTTTTCTGGCTCTCTTCTACACACGGCTCTTAGTCAGCCATGTTACAGCGAGCGCAGCTCCCCCGAGGTGATTTATCGCCCGGAGGCCAACAACGCCCTGAGACTCCCCCGCCAATTCAGCAGCCTTTGCGACGTCTCTCCCCCCACCGCGACGAGACCCTCCCCGGTCCGTCTCCCTCAGCCGAGGCACCCCGAGCCCAGCAGCCACGGCGGCGTGCCTGTAAAAGTCCGCCTCTCTCTCGCTCGCTCGCTCTCTGCAATGGCAAAGCAGGCGAGATGTAAGCAGCTTATTAAACACGCTCAGCCCGATTCCTTCTCAACACCCCCCCCCCCAACTACACACACACCCGGGGCTCGCCAGGCCGAACCGAATCAGCACTCCCTTTTATTCCCATTTACAGAACCTATCCGGGTCAGGGGAGTACATAAATATATCCCAGCACAATGGGGAGGGGGGGCCTTTCCCGGCATCGGAGGGTCCCTCTTCGCTCACTTCCCCAAAGTCACTGGGGTTTTCCCCCTCCCCTTCAAAAAAAAACAACCCAACACTAAGTCTCTTCTTCCCAGTCTCTGAGGAAAGTGTCTGGTTCGGACCCAGCCTTTGTGTACCTATGCGGGGCGAATCCTGCCCCTTCGCACCCCAATCCATGCCCCCCCCCCCCCCCGCGCGCTTTCAGGGTTGGCCTCATAAGTCAGCTCGGGCAGCCAACGGACAACCCTCCCGGAATACTTACGTCGTGTCACACTCCCGTATACTCAGAATCTTTCGTTCACACGCCACAAAACGCACTCGACACCGGCCACCAAAGCTGCCTGGATCTCGTATGTAGTCCAATGCACTGCAATGGCTGTGAGCGGGATCGATACGCAGCCTCCTCACTCTCTCAGCGCTGGTAACATTACTCTCAACACCGCCCTCTCCCTATTGGCTACCGCCAAGCCAGGAGCTCTGCTGATTGGGAGAGCGCCTTCCATTGTCCTTACCAGAGAAGGCTATGGATTGGACGTGGCGGGAGACACGTCATTAGGGATTGAAAGGGCGCGCAAATATAAAACTGAGTGAAAAAGCGAATGCTGAGGCGGGATGTACAGCTCTGAGGCTGAAACTAGTGCTGTACTGCTGTGTATGAAGAGAGCGGGCTCATAGGCAATCATATAACTCTCAATACAGGCTAAAGGAGGTTCACTGCCTTAACTACGCAGCCGTTCCTAGGGTCAAATAAGCATGCCCGTAGCCTTTATAAACGGCTCCAAAACCACACCAGCACTGACCTAGCCTCTGCTGTTGAAGGCAGTATACATAATAAGTAATTATTTAATGTAATTTATTTAATCTAACTGAATTTAAGTCACTGATGGATCTGAAACACACACTAATTAAACTCATTTAACACCACAGCTCAGCAAGCAAGGACTTTTAGTACAACAGTTAGTCCCATTTTATGCATGAATAAACTGAGGTACATGGAAATCATATACAGGAAGGCTTCTGTGGATTAAATCCACCCTGCTGCGGTCACCTCTTGGTTTCAATGCTTTTTACACACTGCTTTTAACAATAATATCCCTCAGCAAGCAGTCACAATGAAGTAAACTATAAGCATAATATATTTTACATGAAAACACAATCTAATTTTTCTGATTTTTTGTTTTTTATAATCACAATAGCAGCTCAGTTATGGAAATATGAACTGATGGCAATATATTAATGGCCCTATATTATAGGGTCCCCAGGTCCCCCATAGCTATTAGCAGGGGATGGGGGGGGGTTAGGGTTCATGGATCCAGGTTGGGGAACTCCCGGAAATTTGGGGATGGAGCCTGGGGAGGACAAAGACCACAGTGGGGTACAATGCCATAGACTTCACCCTCCAAAGCATACATTTTCTCCAGGGGAACTGATCTCTGTAGTCTGGAGATGAGCAGCAATTCCAGGGGATCCCCAGATCCCTTCTGGAGGCTGGCATCCCTACTCCAAAATCAATTTTCTATAAAAATATATTTTAGGCCAATATTTACAGATTAAAAATATGTATATACCTGCTGCCACCATGGTAGCACTGTAATCACAGAACTGCTGTTCGCTTTCCAGATATTCCAAGTTCTGGAATATCTGAAAAACAAATAGGCCAGCAGATTTACGCCCTTGCTCTTTACAGAAATAAGAGAAGTGTACAGAATCTACAGCTCCCTCCTGTACAGCCTTGCTCACAATACAAGAACTTGTATTGAAATTGTACTCAATTGAATTGTACTCAATGAAATTAATGAGCAGTAGATTTAGAACAGGTAAAAGGAACTACTTCTTCACCCAAACAGTAATTAACATGTGGAATTCCCTGACACAGGAAGTGGTGGCATCTACATGCATGGACAGCTTCAAGAGGGGAATAAATATATGGAGCAGAAGTCCATCGGTGGCTATTAGCTGCAAGGTATAGATGGAACACTATGTCTGGGGGCAGTGATGCTCTGTATTCTCGGTGGGAACTTCTCTAAACCAGAATACTGGTATAGACTCTCCCAAGTAACTTGGGCAATCCATGTGGTGATCAGCTTTCAGACATCACATTTTCTGTGTTGTGCTGGCTCCCTAACTGTCTCGCTCCGACCTAGCCACGGTAATCCATGCAACAGTCACCTCCAGGTTAGACTACTGTAATTCGCTCTACGCGGGCCTGCCCTTGTGCCTGACCTGGAAGCTCCAACTGGTCCAAAATGCAGCTGCGTGGGTCCTTACTGGGACTCCAGGGACAGCACATATTCAACCAGTGCTATATGAGCTGCAGTGGCTTCCAATGGAGCACCAGATCAGGTTCAAGGTTTTGGTTTTGACCTTTAAGGCCCGTAGCAGTCAGGGACTGACATTTCTTTGTGACCGCCTCTCCCTGTATGCCCCTGGAAGAGTGTTACGCTCAGGAAATAAGAACTTCCTGGTGGTCCCCGGCCCGAGAGAAGTCCGGCTGTCCTCGACCTGGTGGAATGCTCTGCTGGAAGACATTTGTGCCCCGTGGGAGTTGTTACCATTCTGCGGGGCATGCAAGGCAGAGATGTTCCACGGGGCCTTCGGTTGAGGACAACAACGGGGTAGCCTTTGGCAGTCTCACACAAGCCTCCATCTCTCGTAACCCCTCCCCCCAGGGAGGCTGGGGTGTGGGAGTTTCTTTCCGCCATCTTATATATGCTGTATTTCTGCCACTTTGATAATATTGTTTTATGTATAGGTATTTATTGGCTTGTTTTAATTTATTTTAATCTGAGATTGTATATTATCCTGTTGTAAGCCACCCTGAGTCCTACTTGTAGGGAAGGGCGGCCTAGTAGATCCAATTTAATTAATTAATTTCAGCAGCCACATGGACATAATTTGAGCACTGGCTGTCAGAATCCAGTGATAAAGCTTACCTAGTCATGATGCCAGACTAAAACATATATTTTTACACAATAAATGAGGCAAACACAATCTGACTAACTCAGAATTAACACTTCATTGCAATACAGATATGGCACTGGAACCACCTCTCCACTGAATGTTCCTGTAATATTCTATACTTTCATACCCTTTTCCACTTCTTTCTTCTATAGATACAGAACACCTTCTCAATACACATCCTCAAGCCATTAGCCTCCTGGATAAGTGCCAGTTTCCCACATTTGACACACACAATGCTGAGAAAAGTGCAACTATACCCTGGAACACTTCACATCCTCTAGCAGGAACTCTTAATACTGTTTGTAAAAGCATTTCTAAGAGCCTATGTTTATGTTCTGTGGAGAGACAGAACACTGTCAAAACAGAATGCCTGCTAGAATGACCATCTGCTGTCTGATTATATAAATTCATTCTTACTTTAAATTGTAATCCTGAACACACTTACTCAGATGTACATCCCACTGCACTTAAGAATGTGTCTATCAAATATCAATAGGCACATTTAAGATTAAAATTCATAAAAACAAGTTTTTAAAAAATCCTTTAAAAATATTTGCTGAGAGAATTATTCTTGTACTGCAAAAGCAAGGTACAGTTCACCGGCAACCTTGGGGAACTGGGGTTGCCAGTTAGCTAAACAATTCCTGGTCCTCCACAGTGTGAGAGCAGGTGGAGGTGGAGCAGCCAAAGCATGCTGGTAGTTTCCTAGTCATGAGCACCACTCACTGGGCAGCAGAATCGGTGGTATCTGTGGCCAGAATGCACAGCTCCCTCCTGTACAGCCATGCAGTGATATAAAGGCCCGGGACACGTACAGTCCAGTTCCTTTAAATCCCTACCTGACACAGTCTATCAGTGGTATGGGAGACGGCTGCCTCCCATGTGTTCAGGCATGAGGGGTGGGGGGAGACATGTTCTGGTGATTGCCAGAATGTGCCTCCCATCCACAGCCCATGCTACCAATCTGCTGTGTAGCAGAAGGGGATTTAACACATTCTGGGCCTTTAAATCCTTGCCTGTCACACAATCAATCAGTAGCATGCAGGCAAAAAGCAAAGGATCCTGGGCATGGGCGCTCCCCACAAGCCAGTGACACTCATGGCTAGGCCTCAGAGTCCACACCACCACTACCTGCTTAAAGCAGCTGTAGCTGGCAGGCTTGTTAACAGAGTGTGGCAGTCATCAACTGTGGAAAACACAGCTTTTACTTTAACTCAAAATCTATCCTCCTTTATTTTTGGTTATATTAGCAAGCTGGAAGCATAGGCTGTGGTGTGTCTGCTTCTAAAGAAGCCTACCCCAGACCCAGGAGAGTATGTCAATAACATTCCATTCTTGAACAAGATGACTGAACAGGTGGTGGCTGGACAACTTTCCTGGATGAAACAAATTGTTTAGATACCTCCCAGTCTGGGTTTAGTCCTGGTTATGTGATTCAAACAGCCTTGGTTGCCCCAGTGGATGACCTGGCCCAGGAGATGGACAGAGGGACTGTTAATTCTCCATTCGTCCTAGATCCCTTCCAGTCCGGCTGCTGCCTGGGGCATGGAACAGAGACAGTACTGGTCGCTCTTACTGACGACCTCCGACGGCATCTGGATCGAGGCGGTGTGGCAGCGCTGTTGTTGTTAGATCTGTCGGCCGCGTTCGATATGGTCGACCATCAGCTGCTGACCCACCACCTCGCCGACACGGGGATTCAGGGGCTTGTCCTTCAATGGCTTGCCTCTTTCCTCCACGGTCGGGGACAAAGGGTGGCGATAGGGGAACAGCAGTCCTGGAGACACCGCCTTGAATGTGGGGTGCCTCAAGGGGCAGTTCTGTCCCCAATGTTGTTTAACATCTACATGCGCCCCCTTGCCCGGAGGTATGGGCTTGGGTGTCATCAATATGCAGATGACACCCAGTTCTATCTGATGTTGGGCGGCCGGTCGGGCTCTAGCCCAAAAGATCTGCACCGGGCGTTGCAGGCCATGGCTGGTTGGCTCTGACTGAGTCGGCTGAAGTTAAACCCGGCGAAGACGGAGGTCCTGGGCCTGAGTCGGGGTGGCCTGGGGTTGGGGTTCCCTCTCCCGACCTTCGGTGGGGTACCTTTTGTGCCAGCGCCGGAGGTTAGGAGTTTGGGAGTGCTCCTGGACTCCTTGCTAACTATGGAGGTCCAGGTGGCAGCCACTGCCAAGTCAGCTTTTTACCACCTTCGGCTGGTGCGGCAGTTGGTTCCCTTCCTCGACCGCAGTGACTTGGCCACAGTGATCCACGCGACGGTCACCTCGAGGCTAGACTACTGTAACGCTCTCTACATGGGGCTGCCTCTGTCGCAAATCCGGAAGCTGCAGCTGGTGCAGAATGCTGCGGCCAGGCTACTGATGGGTCTTCCTAGTAGGGCCTGTATTGAAAGCACTGCACTGGCTGCCGATAGCATACCGGATTCGCTTCAAAGTGCTGGTTCTT